CCCATGCGTTCAATATTTTGAATGTTATTAGAGATCGCATCGTAAAACGGCAATAAAAATTATATTTGTAAATGCCATTGTTTTGATTGATATTTTGTTTATCTAACTCCTTAAAGTTTAATGTCACATAATGGGGCTTAAGCTTAGCACTTAGCTGGCTGGCTTCGTGTACATAATATTAATTCAACGTTTTATGCATGTGTTATCTATACATTGTATGTTTATTTATACTTCATTTCCCGACGCCAACTGAAATGACCTGAACAGTAAAGTACGTTCCTCTTCTAAAATTGAAGTAAAAGACTGGACGTATCGGATACAGCTTCATCCTGAGGCAAGTCAAACGGCCCAAACTGGTGAAAGCCTGATATGCAAACATTTATTTTCTAATATTGCATATTTTGAAGACTACAGATTCGCCACATAGCAAAACGTGCAAAGTGTTTCTTGCTAAACGTGCGTAGCGTGTACACACTGCGAACAACTAGGCACCATTGTAATGCAGTACCTTATGCCAACAATTCGCAGGGGACAATGAGAGTTTATTTTTAGCAACGCGGAAATTTCTCAGCGGAGCACGCAACTTTTGTGAGTTACAGTTTTGCTTGACCTTTTTCCAAGGTAAATCCCCACCGATCAAATATTCTCAAAAATGCTATGCCAAAGGACTTGACACCTCATAACACCCATTTGGAGTTCACAACAGTGATTTAAAATTTAAAAAATAGCGTTAAGTACTAGAAATTGTCTGATCTGATTAGTCGTCATTTAACGAAACGGCAATAGCAAACAGTGATACCCCATAAACACAATCATATACGAAGATAGTGCAAAATGCATACGTAAAAAGCAAACATTTTATGACTGGAAAGAAATTCCTAAGTATAGTTAAAACATCATATGCATATCAGTTTGGAGGATGAGGATCTTGAGGTACTAAATATTATAAATTTACAATTTAAGCTCGCCTAAAATCCTTTCATATTTCAAAATATCTCATATGATGGATCTATCCCTTCAAACACTTGACTTTCTTTCTAAAAGTAGTGGAAAAGACTCCCCTACCGACCCCTTTGTGTAAACACCCCGAAGCCTTATCTTACGTCTTCATGACTGTGAACATGTTGCTCCAACTCTGTCATACCAAAATTTTGTCAATTGTTTTATCAATTGTTAAATCTAAGTAAATACTGGTATTGGCAATTTAAAATTTTGTGTGGTGTCCCTACCACATTCTTTATGTATGTTTTTCTTAATAGTAAGTATTACTTGTACATGTGTAAATTTGAAGCCCAAAGCCTTTTATTTTCTGATTCGAAATCATTCTTGAAAGATCAATGTGACATTAAATAATTATAGAAATGCATGCAGAGGACAATCTTTTTTCATTTCAAGCAAAAGAATTTTCGGTTTTTGCCAGCATTCATCCCTGGTGATGACCACTCACAACGTTTTGCTCTTCCCTGTATCTTTTTGTTTATCTAGATCAGTATAGGATGTTATTTCAACTTTTTGTATTGCTGCATGATCATGTCTAATAATTATAATTATCTGTAATTCTTGTCTTCTGTGTCCAATTTTACTGTTTCTACTTATGTATAACAGAGAAAAAACATAGAGAACACCGGGGATCGCATGGCCAAGCAGTACTAATCAATGCTCGCACCTCCGCCCACACAGTGTGAATCATACAGTCGTTATCTGTTCTTGTCCCATATCATCCACATACAATGTACATGTACATGTACATGTACAGTACATGAGCCCCAACACGTACACAAGACTTCTGTCAGACAGTTAGTTCGTAATGTAATTCCATTTTCTGCAGGTTTCAATGGTTAAGGATTTGTCCCTCCCCCGTAAACATAGCATTGTGCAGTGGGGAGCCCTTGCTGTAATTGCCAACAGCTTTTGCCATTTACTTCAACACTAGACTAGTTTGTAGACAAGGTAGAACGATCATACAGAAATGCTTATATCCTTGACATGTGCCAGGTTTGTATAGAGATGCGAATGCAAATCGCTTGGTGTTGAATAAATAAAACTTAGCTATGATTCTACTGGGTCATATGATTTTGTTTCCATCATCAGTAAAAGTGAAGACACAGTGTTCTGATCTTTTATAAAAAAAATGGTAGGTTTTATTACCTGTTATTTTCACAGTGCACTGTATGATTACGGTAGGAATTTAAGGAGAACACGTATGCACATGGCGCCAATGTTGCAAGGCGTCTAATATTATTTCAGGTGCAAGGGTGCACCATCAGTAATGTGCACATGTATTAGAGTCGATTACTGTTATAGCTAATGAGGATGGGTTTTGTGTTTTCAGTGCTAATGTAATCATTGGTTAGGGGCCATTCAAAATTGTCGATGTTTTTAATTTCGAATTTTTTTGAAAATCGAAATTAACCTTTCATTAAAAAAGACAAACAAATCGACCTTTTCACTCGCGTCAATTAAACGCGCCTTGCCAGCGATCCGTATAAGTGTTCACGTACATATCATATCACGTACGGTGTGAAACTCCATGGAGGAAGGTGTTTTTTTGGGCTAAATCTATACCACGGACATATATAAACACATAGACGGGCAGCTCCTATTCAAAACAACGGCGGGGTAGGGTAGCCGAGACGGCACCCGACTAAATCCAAAAGAGTGGGTACATTCACCCCTCGGTATAGGGAATTTACACACAGTTTAAGAATTCCAGCCTTTAAATGCTATGAAATCATTCCCGATTGTGAAAAAAAATCCTCTGTTTAGTTAATCTGGCCAAGTGCAGATTCAAAACAGTGCAGTTTCAGCATCTGAAAAGAAGAGATAGCAGTACAAAAGAGTAAAAAGGGACCGTCTTTTTAGAACACACGTTAACAAATACACGCAATCTTACAGCGTCACGCGCTGCCGTTCATCGTTCCACCCATTGACATAAAGACATGGTTCCGCCCAATGGAGATAAATGGTTCCGCCCACTGCTTGCCCACACTTTTAAAATCACGGTTAATTATACGCCCAAGACTGGTGGTCTATGTGTTTACATGTTTGTGATCCATCCCGTCGTATGCTGACTACAAGGTAACCATGTAAAATCATTGTACATGTCCACCTGTACCTTACAGCATACATGGCATAATCTGACCGCGAACACGTACCTGTACGTGTCGTCTAAAATACATTTTTCATAAATATTTGTGTAGATGAGAGTGCATGGAATCAAATATAAGTGGTGCTTTGCGAAAGGAGGCTATCACACGAACGTGAAGCAACTTCTTCGTGCAAGTTGTGAGGAAGCACACGAGATGCATGCACAGTAAACTGGTTCCTAACGCTATAAACAGCGAGAACGACATGGAACGGACGGGAGCCAGTGACCCCCACGACAACGTGACACATTCTGAATTTCGACAACCCCAAAACATGAAAGGATAAAAACTACAGAAATATTTTTGCAAGTTAGTTCACAAAATGAGGTTGCTCTTTACGCATTGGCATTTTTTCCATTTCATATTTATGTTGAGGTTTCGGTGTCCTTATTTTCAGCGGTTCAGTGAAACCCGATGTTTGAAGGTTGCTGAAGTCTTGAACAGAATCTTTTTTTAAACAATCAAAAAGGCAAGTGGATGGGTGGGTCAAAACAATTTCGAAGAAAATCAGAAATTTAAAAACATCGAAAATTCTGAGTGGACCCTTAGGTGGCCTATCCATGACTTGTTGATATGTCGATCGGTTGCTTGCTGTGTATGCTACTGTCTTGAGGGCAAATGTGTGGATAAGGGGTCAGTCGGTTGGTCGGTCTGTTGGTCTAACTTTCTCAAGTTAGAGGGTCTATTATGCAGTGCTAATATTGTACTGCAATCCACGGAAACGCACCGCTGTTTTTTTTATTTTCAATATTAATCTTATTTCCAATTTTTAGGCTAATGTAAATTTCCAGGTCATTCCCTAAATCTTAATCTTGCATTGATTTGTGAATATTGGAAGTTGGAATTTTGCTGTGTTGACTTGTGATTTATCGTTCTGTAATGAGTGCGTGGCAAGAAGCAAGTGATCAACCCTTCTCGGGAATGTTTCCGGTGAACGAACTGTAGGTTACAGTGAGCGATTTCCCTTTTAGCGGGATCGCAAAATGCGACGTGTTTTGGACAATCTGCGATCCAGTTTTAAATGGATGTTCAGACCTCGAAAAGGTGCGCATTTCGAAATGATGGCCCGGGCGACGCCATAGGCCATGTCCACATTGGTACCGCGGTATGACGTAAATGTGAAGTTACTTGCCGTTGTACCTATTTCGGGGCCAGTGATGACGCATTCTTCTGTGGACGATTCTGGAACCTTTTTTGCACGTGAGATGGCCAAAATGGCGAACAATAATCGACATAAGCTTAGTGTTTTAACGTGATTTAAACTACAACAGAAACTGCTAAACAAAAATCGATCAGTTGCTATACAAAGTCAATTTTTTGCTGTGCAAACAAAAAAGTGCATAGCGAATTTGCTATACAAAATGTTAACATGAAATCGCTCACTGGGTTAACAATCTGAACAAACTGAGTATTGCCCTCTCTGATTGACATTACAGCAGCAGCGCCCTCTGTGGTTCAGTGGTTCAGAAACGCATTAACAATGGTGAATGATTACATGATGTGGTTGAACAGCAACCCAAATATTTACTTTCATTTCAATTTCAAAATATTGTAACTGTCGGGAGAACACTGCAAAAGTTTGATGCTAAATTGGTGTGAAATTGACAGCTTGTATTGTCGTTTAAGGAAATATCGAGGTTGTTAAAGTACAGCCCTTTTTATTGAACACGCAGGGGGTACACTTTTTTTAGGGGACACAACCTGCTTGTGCGCATCTGGTGTGATTATACTCTTGAAGGCCGAACTTTCATGGCCAATCCATCGCGTTACTTAAAAGCAGGAAAACTGAAAACGGACAGGACCACAGTAATTTGTATATTATAATAGACAAATAAACGGATGCCTTCTACTTACGTTTTGGGGAGCGAATTTGTTCTGCCCGACCCACGTCGTCACCGTTTATGATGCTCCACCTGTTCCAAATTGATTCCTGGTTTTCATGAAGAGAAATTCCGTCCCCCAGCAGACTTTTGCTATGACCATGGGGATTAAGGGAAAAGACTGAGATGTTCTGGATTCATAATTCTCTCTCCTCTGCTTTGCATCGTATCTCCTTTCTTCTGATCTTTGCCATCTCCTTGCTAGCGTGCACTGAGTGTCTCTTCAATATGGCCTCCCTGTGCTCCCTGGGTGTTTCTGTCTGCACGTCTCTTTGTATGTCTTTCCTACTCTTGTTCGTCCTCGCAGTTACTCTCACTCGGCCAACTTTCATCCTTTGCTCCCTTTCTATCTCCGCTCTTCTTTTCCTCCTCCTAGTCTTCGTAGCCCTTGCCCAGCAGGAGCATTTCTGCTCTGCCCTCATGTCTCTGAAATTTATCTCAAATTGCCCATACTCCGTGAAGCCGAAGAAGCTGTAACTGTCGAAGTCTACCAACTCCGAGTCAAACAATCTTGTATCACTGTCCTCAGGTATGATGCTATTGGGGTCTTCCCACCAGATCTTTTTAAGAAGTGGTGTGTCTTCATAGAATCCACCATAGTTGTCCACTGAACGACGATACACTTCATAGTTGAAGCCTGCTCGGCCAGTTCCAGGGATGCTGCCAGGTCGAGCTTTTACAAACAACAGATTAGTGACCAAGCAGCTTGACATCGGGTTGTAGTCAACGGTATCTTTAAATTCTTCAACTCGTCTCGAATATCCTCGTATTGGTACCTTTGGCAGTCCTTCCCACTGGTTAACAAGTCTCAGACCAGCGGGCAAAGCAAACAGGTTGAAGAAGGGCGCCGTCACAAGGTCATGTCGGCGATTGTCGATGAAGAGCACTATACATCCCAGTTTTAATTCACAGAGGATGGTTAGAAGCCTTTTCCGGCAAGTTTCCTCTTCCATAAACGCTACTACCGCAGAAAAGGATTTCTCTAGGGTTAGGATATCAACTTCTCGAAGTCTCTTCAAGACTCCAGTTGAGAGACAAGCATCTGTCACCAAATCACACTCTTTATACGTCACAGAGACACTGGACGGTACTTGTCTTTTGATTACACACCACGCACGAGCCCAATCTTTCCATCTATCCAAGACAGTGAATTCTAAAGAGTCGGGAAACAGACCGCTGTCTTCCAGAAATCTGCTCAAACCGACAATATCTGACCCCGGGCCTCCACCGATGCTGCATACTCGCAGCTGACGATGACGCTCCTTCCTGTACTCCAGTCTAGCCCTGATGTGACCAAATCTTTGACTCAACAGAGGCTGCATCGCCACGTACATCATGTAGCAGTGTTGCATGAAGTACAAGTACACATAAGCACACTGGTTGACAGGTTCACTCCAGTCCGTTCGAAGCTCAGAATCGGCGTCCTTCAGTCGCTCTTTGTACAAGTAGGAAATTTCTCTTAGAGAGGAGCTGACCCGTGCGTACTTCTCTGTGTCTGATTCACCTGCAACTCGTTCCAACAGACCGTCAAGTGCATGGCTCACGACTGAGTGAAAGTAATCTGCAGCATCTTGTGGATCTATTTTATGGAGAGACGAATCCATACCGATTTGTCGCTGTATCTGTTGGTAGGTCGTAGCAACACATTTTACAGGTTAGATGCTTTGTCTATGAGCCAGAGTAAATTTATGATTTGGATTCTCGAACCATTAATGCGAGTAATAATTGCATAATTCCCACTTAAAAATTGGGTGTTTTCTCTAGGTCCAAAACGTTTGTGTGTGAAAGTACACATCAAGTAAATTCACACATATGAGTAGCAACTGGGGTTGGACACTCCTGCATCTTTCAGCCGCTAACTAATGTTAATACGGGCGATTCACAACAGTGCGCCTCCAAGAGTTTAAAAGCGTTGGCCAATCACAACGCACAAAATCTGTCGACCCTTTCCAGACGCGCATTAGGTTAACAGATTTCGCGCACTGTGATTGGCCAACGCGTTGCAAACTCTTGAAGGCGCACTATTGTGAAACGCCCGTATTGCAATTATTTTAGAATGTGAGTGGAAGCATCACAAATTCCAATTTGCCTACCGACTCCCTGCACTCAAACTTGAGTTCAAATAACTCAGAAAATCAACCCTTGCTGGATCCATTCTTGCAAAAATCAGCATGGTCAGTTCAACCTTAATTAGGTTTTTATCATTGAAACACTGAAGCAATTAAGGTCCTACATGATGCCAGGAATTCCTTCCTGATAATACGAGCTTTTTTAAATTTAATTTTTTGCTCCCATAAGCACACTGTACTGTTAGCGTCTATGCCCTGTCCGGAACCTGGGTTCGGTGCGACTCAGGTCACGCATTCTGAAGAGGCGGCAAGCGCGTACGGAAACCGACTCTTAATTAATAGACCAATTGCGCTAAATGGCCTATAGTGGGTATTTCAACAAACACGGCGTCCACCAAGAGCCAGTGTTGTGTTCGAGTCCATCACAAGTCATTCAGTCTTAAGCCAATTCACAAGCTCTTCAAATGAGCTGTGAAAAAAAGCATTCATTTGTCATTGTTCACCCAGTTACTTATGACTGACCTTTTGAAGGGACTTGTAACTGGACTTGTGAAGGGGCTTGTGATAGATTCAAATACAACAAAACCAAAAGCAAAGTGTTTCACAAATATCTTTTACCAAGAGTAAAGCCGACGGTAGGTACCGTACTCAGACTACTAATATGCTGGGTACTGTACCATAAATTAGATTTATTACATTATTTATTACTAAATACATACTTTACTCATGAGAGTGATACCCAATGTAGGTCACGTGATTTATCGGGCGCAATCGGTCTATTTCAACTTTGAGCTCGTCGCTGAGTGAATTTCAGTAAATCCACGGGCCTCCTTTTAATCAGTAAAGCACGATTTCATGTTGAACAGGTCTGGGATTGCAAGAACAGGACCCAAACCCACGGCCGTAGCCCCATTAACAAAAGTGGGCCACCCTAATTATTCGAGAATGTGGAAATACACCAGTCTGACACATTAGTAGAAAAGCGATTTCTGGATGTGGGAAATCCCCAAACGAGAAATCGATGAAATAATTCAACTTGTCAATAATTTTCTGAAGAAGAACTACCACACGCTTAGGCAACGGGGGAATACATAATTATCTGATATTTAAAAGCAGAAGATATAAACTGCTTACAGTGCTTCAAGAGAACATAACTCTCGTGCTGAAAGTATTTGAAAGCAATGTTGATCATTTTTATTTTTACTAAAAGGCAAAGTCAAGAAGATCACTACAGACTAAATGGGTCTCTACAGATAAACTTCATTCACCATGTTACTGGCAGATTTATGCGCATTCATTTAATTGGATTACCTTGATGAGATCATATCCTGTTGACCAAGATCACTCTCAAGCTTTCCACGTGAATTTGTTGGGGTTGTACACTTGTGACTACCCAATGTTTCAATGGTGCTCATTCATTGTCGCTTGTTGTCTGCCCATACCCAGCTGTTGTGGGTTTGATATGTATTCTCTGCGTGTGCTTCGCGCTGTTGTGTGTGCACGTTGTTCCGTGTACGCGCTGAATACATTTTATCTATAAATAACAACGTGGGGATTCCCGATTCTTAATAAATGTGCCCGCAGGTTGCACTACACCAAATACGCACCCACAGAACACAGTGCAAAATCGGACCGAAATAGCGCCGCCTGTTGACTCTCGTGAAGAGGTTGGCCTCCGTTTTTTTTACTGGAAATTCAAGATTATTGCCAGAAGATAACTTTTCGCTTCAATTTCATGGGGGTTACCTGCGAAAAACTTTTCTATTCGCCTTTCAAGGAAGATACCCCCAAAACAGCAGTAAAACTAAGCGCTCATTTCTGAATGTAACCGCCCGCCTCTATCCAAAATAGGCCCGCAATTTTTGGATTTTTGTGAAAGAAATATCCCGAACTGGAAACTGTCAGTCCCAAATTCGGGATTTATAGAAATATTTCTATATGATGCCTCCTGATTATGGCATGTCTTACGGTAAAAACCCTCGTGGGATCACAAAATATTAATGAGCTCGCGCGCAGAAATACAACCATTTGGTGGAATGCACCCCGCAAGCAACCTTGTCCCTTTGGTGTCCTTGCAGTACCCTCACACTTCATGCACTTCCTACTTTCCAGAGATTATGGTTTTTCTGTTGAGTTTCTTTTTCTTCCCTTTTATAGAGCATCGACTACATGAACATTCCATTGCATTGCTTAGTGTTTAAGGCTGCGCATCATGAATCTGTTAGGGCGAATATGGGGTGCGAGACTGCTTGTGAATATACTAATACGGGGAAGGGACGAACGTAACCGGCACCGGCCGTGTACAACCTTCGTGGGGACAAAACCTGCAGTTGGTGTATACATATAATTAAAAAATGAAATGGTTGGAAGAGCATCTTGCGGAAAATGTTTTAGGGGCATGCCTCTTATGCTGCACTTATTAAACTCATGAATACTACATCAGTTCCCCCTTTGTCGCAGCTTGAAAAGAGAATACAATATTAAGACTTTTGTAAATGTAACGAACTGCCTATTTGCATTAATTTCCTTCATCGATCCAGGCCTTTTATTTTGATGCAAAGCCCCGTTTATGAGGTGTCAAAGGCCTACCTGAATTCTCCACAATGACGCACTGGGAAATTGGACTTATTCTTAATGTCCCAGACACCCCAAGCTCAGAACACGTTGGTTAAACAGGGGCCTATGCAGCATGTAATAATAAAAGAAAATAATCAAAAAAATAATAAAAGAGTCCCTGGCGCACACGCGATGGTGTCCCCCCACCTGCCCGAATCCGCTGACTAAAGTTTCCCAACCCACATGGCCCAGGCAGCAAAAAGTTGAATTCACATTTAGAATACGTGGTACGACACTATCAGCAAAGAAAAGCAATAGATCTTGCCAAAGTTTAGGCAATGGTATGATTCAGAAACTTACTTTCTATAGTGTATAGTTATTTGGTACACATTGCACTGTACAATTACGAAGAACTTTCCAACATTTCAAAATTTGTCGTTCTAACAAAAAGAACTTGTCCAGGACACAAGAGTTTGATTTGTACATTTGACATTAAGAAAATAACAGAATTTTAAAAAAAAAGTTTTATCGCACCGGATGTTGAAATTTCCTGTTGCTTGTAATGAAAAACAAAAGTAAGTAAAGATAGCTGACAACTATGCAGCTTCAATGAATTATACACTGACATATGCGCAGCCACCGCGCCTCGCGGTGTGCTTTTCCTACCCAGTCAAGTGTCATGTCACATACACCATACCGTGCGAATCTCCGGCCGTTTTCCATTACTCAACTTCGGCTCCGTCTCAGGCTTCAACTGTCTTTTTTACTAGCTGACTTTGAAGCTTTAAACGCAGTAATCAGTCTAATAGTGCCACAGAACATCAAATAAGATGCAAGAATGCCAAAAGTTACAGTAATCTAATGTAATTTAAACGCTTCAGCCCCACGATCGGGGATTGGTTTTGGGAACGACGCTTGAGACGAAGTTGAGTATTGGAAAACGGCCTCGAGATCCGGTTGGTACCTTAATGTATGTAACACTCTTAGTTTCGGCTACTGAATCTCGAGATGTGCCGCTGATCTACAGTTAGTTGCAACAAGCTGACATCACTTAGCCGGGCTGTACCCACACAGCCACTGCATGAACTGTGCATGTGCTTTTAATTAAAGCCGACGACGTCCGTGAAGTTGGGCGCTCTAAAAATAGGTTACTGAACATTTCGCCAGCTGTTGCGCCGTAAAAATGCGCCATCCCACAGTAGGCCTACGAACTTGCTGAGTAACGTTATAGGGACGTTGTTCTGCATGTCGTTGATAACAGTCGTGCGTGTTGCGTTGAAGAGCCACTGAGGTGAACTTGAAGTTTCAAATTTTCGCAGGTACCTATGCCTAATACAATAAATTACATGTTCATGATGTACGTCTCGTGCAATTTTCCACTGATCCGCCATTAATCCATTTTTGTTTCAACATGGTTTCAAGAAGACTTTGGCCTAGATGTTCCGTCGTTCTTTGCATACATTGTACCGTACCACGCCACATCAAATGACATCGTTAGTCTGTTTGTGTTTCTTCACTCCACGGTCAGTATTCAACCTGTCTTCGATTAAACTACCAGTGTGACATCCACTGACAAACACTCCATTTGTGTGTGACTTCATTACTGTAGCAATATCATTTGAACCAATGAAGATCTACAGTTTGTCATCAAATGACATCGTTAGTCTGTTTGTGTTTCTTCACTCCACGGTCAGTATTCAACCTGTCTTCGATTAAACTACCAGTGTGACATCCACTGACAAACACTCCATTTGTGTGTGACTTCATTACTGTAGCAATATCATTTGAACCAATGAAGATCTACAGTTTGTAGTTTAACATTTTGCACAGCCGGTATCAAGCAAGCAGGCAGGAGACCAGACTGGTGATTCTCAAACCTTCTGAAATAAATATGGAAAAGTGTTCAGAAGCCTGGTTGCCTGACTGCTATGAAAGAATGAATGGAAAGCATACATGTTTGTAATGACAAACATTGATTCTTGCAGTTCTGTGATAACTGAACTAAGGAGCTTTGGATGTTGCAAATTGGAGCCAACATGAATACTGACCATCTTGTAATGGTGTGCAATACACCTCTCTGTATATATCCTAATACATGTACACATATTCCTCTTGTGTTTTCACTTTGCAATGACAGCTTACTGAGCGCATTGGTGTGAACACACATGTACGTACATGTAATTTGGACAGTCATTTGATCAAGATTGGCACATTGGAGGGAGGTTATGTGTTCACTGTGGTACTGGACTTGGAATGTCCTGCTCTTGATGTAACAAGTCACAAAAGTACAAAACAAACTCAAAATAAACACCCTTCATCTTTCTGGTAGTTGTTTACACCACCTTATTTTTTGTTACAGGTACAAAGTGTTCCCAACAGGATGGATGTAGTATTAGATTTGAGTGTCCTGTCCCTCCAGTCACAAAAAGCTGCAGATTTCTTTCGTGACCTGGTCAGTGACATTCTACCCGATCTGCTCGAGCATGTTGAAGGGCAGTCCAACCAAGACCGAGCTGACATGGTGAAGAAGGCTCTGCAGAACATCTCAAAGACTTACAGATGTAATCTTGGCGACACAGACCCGTGGTCAAGATCTGAGTGGGACAGTGCTGCCAACCGCTGTGCCTACGTGTTTCTCTATTACGTGCAGCACTGCTACATGGTGTACGTAGCCTTGCATCCACTAGTAGGCAAAGCGTTATCCTATATCATCCAGAGATGGCGACAGATGAAATATTTACAGGTCTGCTGTATCGGTGGTGGGCCTGCTCCTGACCTTGTGGGTTTGACAAAGTTTCTCCGGGACACTGGTGTCATTCCAGTGGCTACGCTGAGGTGTAGTGTCATAGATGCCTTTCCAAGCTGGAAGACTACCTGGGATGCAATTTGGGAGAAACTTCCTGATCCATTTCCTGTGAATTACTTTCGCTGTGATCTCGTAAAGGATACCACCATTGAAAGGGAAGTACTGGACATTGTCCGCAGGGCTGAACTTGTGACCCTCGTGAAGTGCTTATCAGCTGTGGCTGCCCTTATGCGAGATGACCCTAGGAGGAGCTCTCTCCTCCAGGCAATCCTCCAAGAGCTGAAGCCGGGAGCAGTAGTACTGCACATTGATAGTGAGAAGAACCAAGAGACTTGGGAGTGTTTCAGGGAGATCACCCACACTGCTGGGCTTGTGTGGTGCACGAGTGGCACGGCAAGCCAGCAATACCATCTGGGGAGGATTCCACAATCATCCAGAATTACTCCAGCGCCCTTGAACTCCTTCCAATGCAGTCCTGCATTGTGTCAGTTGTGATGCTACGTAAGAACAGGCCAAGTCTGTCTCTTGTCAGTACCCTTGATCTAAATGGTCCAGCCGCTGTAAGCCACCCAGGGGTGCCCGGTCGAATACCATACCTGGAGACCAGACTGCTAAAACCACCGGATGCAAATGGTACTCACATAAATGGCCATGTACAAATGCAGTGGCCTTATCGCAAACCATGAGAAGTGTTTCATCAATCCAAAACCACATGTCAAGTTGTTCAAGACAAGTTGTGAAGTCAGTACAGTTTGCACTTTATCACTTCAGGACTTTTAACATCCTCATGTGTACATGCTTTAAGTAGAACTATTTGAATGTGAGAACAAAAAAACTTTAAATTTCTTGTATTCTAGGCAGGGGCATTCACATTTAACAAAAAATAATTGGAATGAATGTTGTGTCATTTGTACCTTTGATGAGCATAAAGAGCGAAAAGTTAAAGATAAAAATGAAAGAGTCATTTCATTCAGTAGACAACTTGTACAATCACAAAAATTGCTTGGACATAGATTACCCATCTAAATATATTATGTTTCCAGTGATTTTTAATGTTAGTTTGATTACATAAACAGCAAGTAGCAAGTCTTGTTTAAGTTTAATGAGAAGTAAACTTGAAGGTTGAATGAGAATTTAGCAGCTTAAACCAAAAACATTCAAGTTATCCCTTGGTTACAGGCTGTCACAGTCTGTGATTTCGTAGGCATTATCATGAATCAGAAGTTTGTAAAACCCTCTTCTAGTAATTTTTGCCTGTTTGTAATTGTAGTAACCCATTCACTTTCTCTATTCATTTTTGTGCTATGTATCAGCAGTGTATTATAAGTGTGTTGAATGTTTCAGTAATTTTACAAAGATTTTGCCCTATGTTACAGTGCTTTACAAGGTGTTAAAATAGCAAATATGACCATTTTAGTAATATTTCCAGGACTTTCAAAGTGCAGATCAATGGAAACTGCATCTAATGTTGCCTTATTCAAAATAATGAATGTGCTTTATGTGAAATGACTACTCTTCATGTGAGTATGGCAGTACATATATTTGACAAGCATGCACTTTTACTAATACACCTGTTGGACTGTTAAATTTAAATTTTAAATTAGTTTATGAAATATTAAACATGGCAAATGATTTTACGGTATTTATTGTCCGTTCATAGTACACACATGCACTATAATTCTGCAATTATAGTTTTGCCAATCGTGCAACTAGCTGTAACATGTTTAGATGGCTTTCAGTGGTACTCTGCCAGGATTAGGCTGGATTAGGCTGATTTTCATATATCAAGAAATCAATTCCACCGCTGAATGATTTGAACAGTAATTCCTCATGGAATAACATGAACACAATTGATGGTGTTTGTGTGGTTCTTTTAAGGATCAATTCTTGGTGCAAATAATTGCTGACCGACTTCATAAACTAGTTCTGCATTTATTTAACCTCACCTGGAACTCTGATTTAATGCATTAGAATGTAAACTTTATTTTTACAATTCTGAAAATGAAAGTGAATAAATTACATGGGATAACAGAAAACACATTGTTTTCATTCTTGAGCAGTTGGATCTGAAGGTTTTTTGTGTAATGTATATTGGTCTGAGAATACAATGTTACATGTATTCAACAATGTAATGGTAGTGAGACCTGTAAAGTTGCAATGTGGTGGCACTGCGTTTATTAAATTGAAAATAGGCCTACATTAATTAGCACATTAGGGCAAGATAGCAAACCTTTGATTTTAAATCACTTACCTGGTTACAGCCATAATGCCTATGGTAGTGTCCCCTAACGTGGCGCACTTCGACATTTCCCTTGGCTTTCCTCATGCAACCTCTTTAATGAAAAATTCAAATGCATTCAGTTAAACAGTAACATTATTACCTTCATAATACGTGCTGGCTAACCTTTGTGAATGATTTTAGTATCACGAAATTAAGTCTGAAATTAAACATGGTGGCGTCCAAAATTGGGTACAAATTAAGCTGAGTGTTGTGTAAGATGCACTTGAACAAATCTCTGAAAGTGCCACATCAATATGAAAGAGTTCATTTGCACTTCGAAGGAAATCGGACAAAAAAAATTTCCGTGAAACTTTGTAGTGGGTAAACTACTTTTATGAATGGGATTGTTGAGATCTTTATGAAATTTCACTTACTGTGAAATTCGAGGTAGAAATGTTGCTCCAGCAACGCACAAGAGGCGAAAATCAAACTGCACCTTGGGGCCGCGCGACCGTGGTCACGTTAGTGTGGTTTGCAGGTTCCGGTACATCAACAGTGTTTCTTTTTCAAAGTTCATCAGTCTGTTTGACCAGGCTCCGTCCTGATGGATTGATTCTTCAGAGTATGCATTCCTTGACAACAGCACAGTTTTTCAAAGCCATAGATATGAAACTGATTTATCCTAGATTTTAAATTCTCGTCAGCATCACAGTTCAGAGGCTACGCTAACCTACACATCTGGAAAAGCAGACGTTTTACCGCCTGGACAAAACATCAGGCCTGACACGACAAGCCTGTTAATTGGTGGAAACGTTAAACATGCATAGTCTAGCATCCCGTGTCATACATCGCACTTTAATGGCTTCCAGTGTTGTTTATCGTGTAATGATGCGCAGGTGGTTTTTTTTTCAGTAAAGTGCGAATAAGGCGCCCTCTGATTGGATGAAAGTTAACTAGTAAAATCGCGATGCTGGCGCTGTCAGATGCTCAACAATGGAGGGCGCTATTGCATTAGTTCAAGATGGCGACTCACATGGCATTGATGAAAGCTAAGAACAAGTGAGTTTTCCCAATCGGTCTTTTCCCTTATCCATCAGTTACATGGAAGATCTTTACCATTGACGTTAAATAGAATCACAAAAGAATTTTTCTTGTGTGAGCCCAGTCGAAGCATATAAATTACGTTAGAACGAGGTACATGTAAACAAGTGGCGTAGTCTGGCTTGTCTGGTGGTACCATAGAGAGGAAGGACACAGAAGGAGTTGCAACGCAGGCACTTCAAAGTGTTCAATGATGGTCGCCGCCGAGTCAGATAAATAAAAGAAAACATTCTTTTGTGTTCATACAGTGATAATGGGTACAAAGGGGTTTCGTGGTTGTGACACAGATGGTGCATTGCAAGCATTTGCTGCGCTCTGGCTATGGACGTACCAGGCATGCCAGAAAGCGGTAATTGGCCAGGTGTTACAGCCCAGGCAGTTCAAACTCCTTCTGTGTCCTTCCTCTATGGTGGTAGTGACTATGTAGGTCTAGGACTATTGTCGTAGGACACTGTAGGAGGAGTTATTGGAATTAATATGATCAAACCAAGCCAGTGTGCATGATCAAGTGATGAGTAATGCTTGGTGTTGAGTGTAATGAGTGTGATAGCCTTGAGCTACCAGTACCATTCTCATTTGTAAACAATTGAAGCAGTCTTCCCCAGCTGCAAATTCATGAAATTAGAGCGTGATATTAGAGAGAAATTGCTGACGACAGAGTCATCGCCAATGCTGCAGCATAATCAGGCATGGAGGTAGGAAAACAAAGATTAACATAACGGTAGATTGACTGGTTGCACCCAACGGGCAGCACATAAAACATAATGTCCATGATGGTACAGTCGCCAGGTTCCCCAGTTCACCACTTACTGTGAAAATCAAGGAGACTTGACAATATGTGGCAAAATTAGGGAGCTGGCAACTGTACCATAATGGACGTTATAACATTGTGCATGGTTCAGGAAGTGTAGTTGGTCAGTGTGCACAATTGGTGGAAAGAATTTTGCATCCTGCAACCAGTTTTTTTCATCATGTATCATCTCAATAAAAGTCGGTCATTGCAGAAATCCTGAACATACTGAAAAGACATGAATCATGGACTGAAAAAAGTTCCCAATTTTGCTAGGAAATACACTCAGGTGGAGTCAGTACGCAACATTCTTTCTCAAGCCTTGAACTGTTTCATTACTTTTCTCAGCCAAAACAAGGAGAACGTCCGGTGCCAAAAATGCCTTGAGTTTGGCCACTGGACCTATGAATGTTCAGGAAAGCGAAAGTACGTCCAGCGAACCTCACGGATGTCTCACCTCAACAAGAAAATCAAGCAGGCAAAAGAGCAGGCCGAGACACAACTTGTGTAAGTTTCAAGGGTCAGATCAAGAGGGTTGTTCACTGCACTATGCATTTTGGTTTGGTTTGTAGTAATGTTCACTACCTTCAGAGTCCATTTCATGGTATTAAACTAACACTTTGCAAACTCTGTTAGTCGCAATCATTTGCAGTGTCTTGTAAGAATTAGAATTTACTGTCATGACTGTAAGATTGATGCTGTTTCCATGCATCAGAGGTAGCAAACATGTGCTAACTTACCTTAAATAGATTTACATCACCAGGATTTAAACCCAAAATGTCCAGAATACCGTACTGATGTCTTAATTTTTGGGGACTCATGCTGGAATGCTAAATGCCAAATGACTTTTTTGATACTTTGTTCTTAAACATAATTTCCTTTTTTGCAGACCCAAAACAGATGGTAAACCAGCACATGCCAAGAGCAAAAAGTGAGTACAAAAGCTTATTTTTGCTCTTTGAAGATAAAATTGAATTAGATGTTCTCTCCCAAAGTTGCTGTGTGCACCTTATAGCCACCAGCTTGAGTTGCAGTGCTCTTGAATATCATTGGCATTCACATAATTGGGAGTTTGGCGTCAATGGTGTGAGATCTGATTGAGACCCTGAGTGCAGATAAACACGCCAAAACAAAATCATGCCAACTTTGCTCACCCTCCATCATACAAAATACACTAAAATTGTCGCAAAGACAAAAATCTCCACTCCGGGTATAGTCGATGGTTCGGCTGATGCCTGATTTACTTTGTGTATTCAGATCTAAGAGGCGCAAGGCAAGCTCTTCATCAAGTAGCAGTAGCAGCGATGAGGACTCCAGTGAGGACAGCGATTCCAGCGACACGGACTCGGACAGTTCAGACTCCTCCAGCAGCGACAGCAGTGATGCCTCTGACAGCGACAGCTCTGACAGTTCTAGCACCATCACCAGCAGCAGCGGCAGCACTAGCAGCAGCAGCACCTCCGACTCGGACAGAGGGAAGAAGATCCCCCGCAAAAAGCGTAGGCGGTGATTCTTGCGTCTATGGTCCCAGAGGTTAGAAAATCGGACCCCAGTTCCAACGTTAAGTCACACTTAGTGTACCAACACTGGAGTTTCGAAGAAGGGCAAGTAACCTTGCTGCACGTGTATGTGGCGGACACTTTTCAACTAATTAGACAAACAGTACTGACCTTCTAATTTTTTTTTCGCACTGGTCAGTTTTGTCACACTGCCCACAGATGGCCTTGAAGCTGTAATTCTGCAGCACTGTGGTAAGGCCAAGTGACATTTAAAGAAATTTACTGTGTAACATGTACTTCAAGTGGCATACTCCGAATATAAAGCCCGCTAAATTTCCAGGGTTTATCCTTGTATTTATACAATTTTAGTGTAAGTCACCTTTTGAGGCACAGGTCCTTGGAAAACTCTACAACACATTTCTCACAACACTCTGTGGTCTTTGATGTCTGTCAGACAGGTCACATACATGTATGAATCGATGGCTTAGGTTTTTGGGGGGCATTAGCACGGCACAGTGGATGGCGGAAGCCAAAGACAGCAACACCGGCTGTATGCAGAGTACCACACCAGAGATGTCAGATCAGAGATGGTGGTGGGAAATACACTGTGTGTATAACATCAGTGCAAACAATTTACGTGCATTGCTTGGCAAGATGAAATGGCTCAGGTGGGAGTTTACATCAGCTACAAGCAGAAAAGTTGATTTTCAACTTATTTTTATTTCGTACATTTGAAAACTCTCTCATTCTGTACGCAGTACTGAATGTCTAAAGAAACGTGGAATTTTGGATTGAACTTTCCGATGCCCATGTGTTCTTATTTTACTTGCACGCTTGGAAGTCCTTTTTAAAAGTTTCACCGAATTAACGTCTTGTGTGGTTTTGGTATGTTAAATGTTACGCCTTTGATCTGTTCTTTAAATCAGTTAAAGCTTATGAAAGCTTTGTCATTCTTTCATTGACTTGGATTCTGTTTCAGTTTAAATCATCAGAGAGAATTGTTACCTTTTAAATAGTGATCATACCTTAACTTCCACGCCGGTTTCACTTTCAACTTGCAAGGTTTTAATTAAACAAAACTTTTGTCTTGGATGTATTTCACTCCTATGTACAGAATTATTCACAATATAAGACAAATAAATGGAACTCCAAGTAAAAACTCTGATTTTATGGATCAGTTATATCAAATTGTACACTTGAAAACATCTGTAAAATTAAACTTCTTCCGAAAAATGGAAGTTCTGAATGGAATGCTGGGGCAAAAAAATCATTGGAAATTGTTAAGAAATTCATCGGAAATTGTTAAGTATGCTAAGTATTTGATGGAAGATGTGGACAGATTCTTGTTTATATTGGGTTCCTACTCATTCACTATCATGTCCTTTGCATGCTAGTTTTGTTGGTTACCCAACACCATCTACGAGTACTCTACATACATTGAACTATATGACCCGGTTATAGTTTCATTCCTTCCCATGACAAAGACAAGTACATGTAGACTGAACTGGACGGAATCATTAATCTTACTTACTATTAATCTTTTTGGAATGCATAGAATATAAATTACACAATACAGTTTCTAGCAATGCACACGCGTTAACCTACTTCAAGATAAATGTGTTTGCTACAGAACATTTCACAAGCACTGGATGGAATGCTGTGATTTGAAGAAATCATAGTAGAAGATGATTTACAATGCAAATGGTGCAGGTTTGATGTTGGTACTTTTGGAGTTGTTCCCAATTCTGATGCAATCTTCTTGCTTCGTCCTTAGGGGCACATGATCAATTATCGAATTTGCAGCCCGTGAGGATAATAATCGAGAACAAATTTGCTGGGATCGACCATGGAGGTAGAAAGAAACCAGGGTAAATCAAAGCCGTTGAATTAGTGCAAGGAATCGTAATACACATAGGCAATACATGTACATGTATATGTGTAAGTCGGCAAAATGATGACTTACAACACAAGTCGGCATTCGCGTAAGTCGTCATAATTTCTTGAGTCCCGAGAGTGCCGACATAGCCGGAGTTTACTGTACATGTATGCAGCCCTATTGAACTTGAGTACATGAGGTCAATGACAACATCCAATCATGGCATACTATTCTGACCCTACACATATTCATGAAACCACGAGAGAAACTTGTACCAGAACCATGGATAACTGCAGTCTCCATCCTCGATTCCTGTGACAATTTCTTCTCCTATATAAAGATGTTCCCTGGACATCTACAGCTTGTACTTTCACAATGCCTTGTGCTGAGTAATTAGACTGTTCCCTGGTCTGGACCAGTGGTCTGAGTCTGTATCTTCCAATTCGTGGGATGCTCTCTGCTATGCATTTACTTCTCTTGAATGCAGTGATGTCTTCATCCAGCTGCTGGTATCGTCAGTTGGTGAGATGCCTTCTGCTCTGTAGTTCAATTGCTCTCTTGTAGTCTTGGACAGCATCTGCACGTTTGCCAATCTTTCCTCTCACCTCTGCCCTGCGTTTGTGCACCAAAGGATCATCTGGCTGTAGTTTCAGAGCTGTCGAAATTTAAATGAAAAAAAAAAATAAAATTCAAGTTTAAAGCTCAGAAATCTGGCCATGGCTCGTTGACCCAAATTTACTATACCGGGAACTTTTCCATACCATGCAGAAATAGCAGTCTGTAACTTGAAAGTGTGTGTTGGTAATGACAGGTTTTTAACTGCAAATGTATGCATGTGTCGCTTGTAAACAGCCATAGGCACGGTCAGTGAAAACTAGACTTGAGGTGTCTCAACAATTGGAAAAACAACAGGAGTGAGCTCAGAATTGACCCTGGATATCAAGTATACTGAAGTATTGATGGTCTAAGATGCACACTTGGTCTTGGAGAGGCACTGGGTCTAGGCACAAGTCAAGGGTCAGTGTGACTTAATAAGGAAAGAGTCTTTGAATTGCAGAATCTAGCCAGGGTGTGTAAAGACAAGTCCAAATTTGAACCTATCATTGGTTTCGGAGTGACCTTTCAGTCTGTGTTTGACTGTTTTGGTCTGAGAATCTGATCCAAGACTTAATTTCAAATTAGCAACTGCGTCGTCCTGCTTGGGGTGCTGTGTGTGTGGGACGTCCAGAGAACTAGACAGCCATAAGCAACTGAGGCAAGTCAGTGAGTGTTGTCTGTCCTACCCTCTGAGTAGTCCTTCTCAGCAAGCTCGTATCTGCGTAAGGAGGCATACAGGTTACCCCGGTTGAAGTAGACGTGGGCAGAGAGGGGGCTCATAGTGACCGCCAGCTGGAAGTCCTTCAGAGCCCCACGTGCGTCGCGCATCAGAACCTGCCATAAAAGACACAGCATGTGACCCTGTCATTCCCCTGCACGAACTGGCTTGACCTGGAAAAAGTCTCACTAACAGGAGATTTCTTGACCAAGTCCAAGCCGGGACTGTGGTTTGTAACCAGCTGCTGCATTCTTGGTGTCCGTGCTTTTCAATTAAAGTGCAAATAATTTCAAACCTAACTACTTATCAAGGGATTCCCCTGCACGAAACTCATAACACCAGAACCTACAAACAACAGGAGCATTCCTCTACCAAGTCCCATCAAGGACCACTGGTTTACCAGTTACTGATGCCTGATACTGCTTGCATCCATGCTCATGAATTCAAGTACAATTGATGAACAGTCAAATTATAGTCACATCCACCATCTCAATGCAATATAAACACTGAATTGTGTGACTGTTGATGAGCAGGCAGGCTTGATCTTTGTTTCATGGTGAAAAGTGAACAAGAAACCATGTTGCGTTCCATTACCCATCTCAATTGTATTTTCAAAGGGCAGGGTGATGCGCAAGTACAAATTTCTCTGTTACTCATATCATTAATTTTGCCCACTCTGACCCATTCTATGGCTGTAATGACTTCCATTACGTGCCATACTCTTTTACTAAAGTGAAAGCATTATACAGAGTACTGACTCACCTTTGTGATTCCTCGATTCAAAATGGCTGATTCATCTTTGGGATTATGCTCCAGTGCTTTGCTGTAGAAGTCTATGGCCTAAAATTAACAGAAGTAATGGTGATGTCAGTTGGATGGTTCATTTGTTGTGGTTACATCTGATGAATAATTATGAAGATTTATTCATTAAACTACCAGCTCTGCTTTCTTTCATAAAAATTTATGCATCTTTGTAATGCACTTTCATGAGGTTTCCAAAGTCTCCAAATTATAAACATCATAAGGGCACAGCTTCTCTAAGAAGTAAGCTTAGCATGCCCTTCCACCAATTTAGAATGTCGCCAGAGAATCATAAATCCTGTACCTGTCTAAATTGCCGGTTGTGGAAGTACAGGTTGGCAGCATTGAAGTAGGCCAAGGCATAGGTGGGATCCAGCTTGACGGCTGACTGGTAGTCCCGCATGGCGTTGTGGTGGTCTTGCATGAACTGGTTCACCACACCGCGGTTGGTGTACAGCTCAGCCGATGGCCCCAGCTTGAGGGCGGCATTGAGATCCTGGAATGCGGCAAAAGTGTCGCTCATTTGGAGGCAGACGACCGCGCGCCCCTCCAGGGCCGGCCTGTAATCTGTTGGGTAAAGTTGTGTCAAGAGTTGTTACCAGTCAGTTACATATTCTGCCCAAGTCCGACAAAAGTCGGGTCACAAGCAACTGGGCGGACAATAACAGAAGGAAAGTATTGTGGTTCATTTGAATAGCTTGTGATTTCAGACTGGAGGACTTGTAATTGATTTGTGCTTGACTTATGACATGGTCAAAGCACTGTTCAGTGTTAAAATACTCCAACATTCATGAGTCCAAGAAAATCTGAGATTCCCAATACAAGACCATGCATTTCCGTAAGGAAACCTGTAACTTTCCATTTCTTTCACAGTTCACTGTCTCAGACCTTTCGGTACATTTCAACTTACTTGGATTGATCTTGAGGCAGGCTGTTAGCTGTTTCCATGCCTGCTGGAAGTGGCCGCAGACCTGCAGGTTGTAGGCCAAATTGACTCTCGCTGGAAGGCACTGGGGGTTGAGATGAAGTGCCCTCTCATAGTCGCGCCTACGGTGCAATGATAGAAATACCAGTTTTACCAGCAGGTTCTAATACTTGACAAATCAAAGTCTTGACAAAGAGCTGACTCCATGCAGAAGGGCAAGAAAGGATGGTACCCAGAGTGAGCTGCGAAACCTGTTCAGTCTGGCCTACGTACTGCCGCTTTGAATGAAACAGAGCTGAATGCTTAAACTGTCCAATTAGCAAAGATAAAACTGCAGGGTACGCATTTCAAGTTGGCAAATATGGAGAGTTTGTACTTTTTTCCTTACGTAAACCACCTGTTGATCAAACAATTTCAAACTGATTTCTCCACGAAGCTCATTTTTGTGAATACCAGAACAAGCTGTATAAAAATCCCAATGTATTTCATGTAAAATCTATATCCCTAGAAAAAACTAGCCACAAAATGAATGCACCGCAATGCAACGTAGTTAGACTGTAATTTCATGCACCCTTCTATTAGAATGGCTTAGTTCCTCCCATTCGCTTTAACGATGTTAAGACTGCCCAGTGTCCATCTGAGACCTGTGCGTCTAATTGCTGGTCCTAAGCATATCTTCTGCTGTACCAGGCACTCTTGGTTATAGTTGTCTTCATTTCCAAATTTTAGAGTCACTTGACAGTGAAACTGCGGCCTGAAACGTACCTTGCCATCTGGTGCGTGATTTCATGGCCATAGTCCATAAAGGCATTACCCCGGCCAATGTAGGCATCCAGGAAGAACATATCAACCTCCAAAGCAGAGGTGAAGACGGTCACAGCATCTTCTAGTTTGTTCAGTCTGTGATGCAAAAAAGACTACGTGCTAACCACATGCACCTTTAGTAGTAAACAAAGTTACTGTGGCCACTGAAAACACCCTTTCTGTTGCAAACCTGAGCTCAGGTGCATTTCTCTTGAAAAGATAGATGTTTGCACACATTCTGTAGACAAATAGGTCTGTGTAAATTATTAAAAAATTAGTCTCTGAATAGTCAATTGAAAAAAAAATGAGTTTGTGCACATTCACTTAAAATAGGTTCATGCACATTTAGCTGAAAGATGGGTTTGTGGCCATTCAGCTACATGATGGGGTTGTGCAGATTCAGTTGAAAAACAGGTTTGTGCAGATTCAGTTGAAAAACAGGTTTGTGCACATTCAACAGAAAGATAGATTTGTGACCATTCAGCTAAATGATGGGCTTGTACACATTCAGTTGAAAAACAGGTTTGTGCACATTCAGCCGAGGAATGGGTTTTGTGCACATTCAGTAGAAACAAGGCTGAAAACCTTCCACGCCAGTTGGTGTGTGCAACCAATTTACCCATGAAAAACCAAATCTAAGGACTATACAAATAAAGCCTTACTTGTGGCAGCACAGACCAAGTGTGTGTCTGATCTTAGGGTCCCGGGGATCCATCTGCAAATTCAGAAAAAATATCAGTCAAATATTCTCTCAACTTGTTTCTGTGTCGGGGAGTACAATATCAGTTGTCCCGTAAGGAAAGACAAATGCAACAAGACAGCATTTAGCAAGGCAGACCTATGAATTTATCTTAAAGCAATTTTGCTTTTGTAAATTATACAACTAGTAAGGCCTACTGTACATGTATGGAAGATTGGCACATTTCCAAAATGGGTGGTGCTGAAGTTGCAAATTACTTTAACAGAGTGTGATATGCCCTGTGTATATCAAGCAGTAACATCACTGTTTTCTCACTGATCAATAAATCAGCAGGGAGGGTTCATGTTTGCTCGGGATAACATGAATACATAAAATACCAAGAAAAAAAGGATAAAAACATCACAACATGGAGTGTTTCCAAACTTGGACCATATTGGCGGGTGATTCCGTACAGACCTTGACAGCCTGAGCAAAGTCCTCCCTGGCATTCCTGTAATCCTTCTGGGCAAAGTACATCAACCCCCTGTTGATCAGCACCTGTATGTCAAACAGTCATTCAAGCACAGAGAAGGTATAGTCACATCTACTGTGATCAGGGGTGCGAGTGGCCACTTAAAATCTAGCAAGTCCCCATACGTTTGTACACAGCAGGTGCACAAAAAAGCTGAAATTCAGGGTCAACATTTGAACAAAAACGGCTGAAATCAGCTGAAAAGCTGAATTCTCACACCCCCGTGTGATACTGGACTTGGGTGCGGGGATTCTAAGTTGTACTAGAACCCCTCCAAGTGATGAAGGTACCTGTCACGTATCCCATCATTGCATATCAACACCCTCTAATCATCAGCAGACATTTGTACGATTACTGGTTATCTGGTTTACGAGTTGACAGTTGACAGCGAAAATAATAATTCATTTTTTTATACAGTGCACTACATTAACGAATGCATGTGTGCAAAATATCAATGAGCTTTACAGATTAAACCAGCAGAAGAGATGATTCCACGAGGACTAAAACTATATGAAAGTACAATAGAGTACAACACACCAAGAATGATAAAACATAAGTTACACTTAACGCACAGGATTAAAAAACCAATCACAATCAATAAAAAGGTGTGTTCACGGCTGCCTTAAAAGTGGAAGGTGACACTGAATTGTGAATACAATTTGGCAGTTTACTCCACAGGCAAGGATACTGATACAGGAAGTAATTGCATGCATTGTGTACATACCAAAGGGGCTCCCTACTTTAGTTAGTAAAGGATTCCTTCAGCCCAAAAAGTAACCTCAAACATATTTACTTATGAAACTTGCTTAATCACTGTGAGCTGAGGTCATGATTAGTTCCTATGAGCAATGCACTACACAGGACTTTCATTCGCACTCAATATGAGACAGGGAAACCAAAAACGCCCTCTGCAGGGTATGTGCATGAGCCTACCACCTATCTGGGTTGACTGACCTTGAGGGCGTTGGCCTCTCCCAGCATGAGCACAATGCCGTAGTCCCGCAGCGCCTTGCCGTAGTCCTTGGTGGTGTGGTAGCAGACGGCCCGGTTGAAGTAGGCCAGGGAGCAGGTGTTGTCGATCTCAATGGCCCTGCACAGGTCCTTGATGGCCAGCTTGTAGGCCAGGATGTAGTACTTGAGCGCTCCCCTGAAAAAGGATGCAACCTCATTTTATGAGACGAGACTCTGTCCATGTTTTAGCATCTACTTGTCTGTGGCACAACAAAAGGAGTGACAAGGCCAACTGTTTGCATTGTGAAGTTGTGTTTGACTAGATCAACCATCCAATGTTTTCCCAGTGACGGTGGTCAAACCATTATTATGAGAGTTGTCGCTTGAAATTGCCCTTTAGGAATTGGGATATTTTCTACCGATCATTTTCTGACAACTTTGTCCTATCAAAGTCACTCTAGTCATTTTGTTTTGCTGTGAGCTAGTGGATGAATTCAGCCAAGGCTTTCACTAACTAAATGCTATCCATCATCAAATAGTTATCTTTCATTGTGCATGTGCCCAACATAGAAAAGCCAGAGTCCAAATGCTGAAACATTGAAACTGCCATCATCTGCCGTGAGCAGAAGCACCCCCTCACCGGTTGAAAAGAGCCATAATGGTCAGTAGTGTTCATTTTGTTGGTAGCAATGTGACTGTAATATGTGCATTTCATAGTTGTTTGTTAACCAGCAAAATGCAGTTCTGACAGAGGAGCCAGCGTTGTTAAGAAACTTGCGCCCTCTCTTGGTCCAGCTCCTGGCTCCTAGAGCTCAACAGCCCTATTGGAACCTGTGCAGTGTTTCAGTGATCATGGGTTTGAATCTGTCTTTGGTTTAAAGTTCTTCTTTTAAAATGATTACCTGTACAGGTGGGCTCTAACACTGTTTGGCTGCAGCTTAATGGCCTCGTTGCAATTGACGATGCCTTTGGAGTAGCGCCCCTTCATCCCGTAATAGGCGGCCCGGCTCAGGAAAGCCTGGAACAGCTTGGGGTTGAGGGCTAGGGCACGGTTGAAGTCCAGGATGCCCTTGGATTGACGCAACTTCATACGTGTCAGGCCCCGCTGGTAATAGGCCTGCCAGGAGAGGTGTGTCCAAGCAATGAGCCAGCATTTCAATAACGCATACTCAAATCAAAGACAGTCTGCAAGTGTGAAGTCAGCCCTATCAAAGCCGTCTTACAACGAATCATGTTTGAGGTGTTCCTGCACTGAACATGTTTGAAGTGGTGTAACGTCAGGTGCTTTGGTCTAAAATGTTTGAGGTGGTGTAACGTCAGGTGCTTTGGTCTAAC